CTACAGAGCTGTGTGTATGTATGTGTGTGTGGTGTTTTCGCAGCTGGTTTGTAAGCGAAAGTCGTCAGGTAACAGCACGTTGCATTTCAGCATCCTAGGCAATCAATACATTCAGGTGCATACCTACCTCTAAAACTCTGCGCCTTTCAAATTCATACCATTAAGAGTGAACATCACCGAAACCATTAGAAGGACCTCTTGAAGCAGCTACGCCTACAACTGGAAGGGAATGAAAGGCATCGAAATGAATTTGAGTGAGCGACGATGAAGAGCGTGAATAAACGAATGGCAAGAGTAACACTGTATCGAAAACGACACATGACAAAACTGTTACGGCCATGTCCAATTACCAAAGGATGAAGCTAAGAAGGAAAACATCATATCACGGACAAAAAAATATCTAAGTGTTTACCCTTTCGACGAAAGGGTATCAAATATTAAAGAATATTAAGTTCGACGAAAGGGTATCAAATATTAAAGAAACCACTCTCATCCGGAAGTCATCAGCTGGTTTAGATATCTTGCCAGCCGCATTAAACATTTCAAGTTGCTTTCAAATAAACGACCGTTAGAAGGACGGGAAAATGTCATCTTCAAGAATAATAAAGTTTCAACGAACATAAAAATGGTGTCATGTTTGTTTCGATAGGTTCATCGCCAATCTGCACATATTACCGTTAAAACCATGAACTTACAAACTCATACTTCTTGGTTAACTTTGCAGCACATTTCCTTAAAGCCTCATATTGAACCACCGTTTGGAACTTGATGGTTTACTGATTTTAAATTCAAGAACTACAGCAACTGAAAATGAACCATACATACTTTGACACAGATTCCGCAGCCGATGCACAGCTCCTCGGAAATCCAGGCGATTTTGCTAGTCGGAGTCACTATAATGCACTGTCTTCCCATGCGAACGACAGGACATGACTTCTTGCACACCTGCCCACAGTTCTTCGGCTTGCAGCGGTCAGCATCAACGATGGCGATTCGTGTGATTTTGCTTTGTTCTTCCTGTTGCGTTCGCGGCATAGCTGCGAACTCAGCACTTGTCAATCACCAGTTCGATATTTCAGTTATTTTCTTCGCACAGCCTAAATTCTCAATATTTTGTTAGACAGGGTTCTAACTTATGATGAGAGAGATACAAACTGACACAAGGAATAAATAAACAGTTTATCTAACATGAAGCAACACAGCACTACACACCCAGCCTAGCGAAAACAGAATACTGTACTAATATAATTAGGTTAGACTTACAATATTACTTCCTTATATAAGTAATAGAACTTCCTTATAGAAGTAATTAGAATGAAACTCCGGCGTTGCTGGTCCCAGGCCCAGATGAAAAGGAAGTCGTTTGGGGACAGTTGAATTTAGCCACCTGTCGCTCATGGAACATTCTTCATCGAAAATTATGTCATCTCGATCGTCGCACGGATTCCGCAGGGGTACGATGATAGAGGGGTTGAGGCAGGTTGCGAAAAGTCGGCGATCAAAACCTGCTCATCGCCTTCTAGCAGTCGGGGTCGTAGCAGCACTACAACGGCTGCGGAAGATCTAAGAAACGATGACGAAAATAAAAACCAGCAACGGAGTCGTTACCCGTTCTGAAATGAGGAAACAGCGTGATCTCATGCACGTCATTAAAAATACATCTTCATATTTATCTTCCATTGCCGCTTCTCCTTTCGGGTCGCGAAGGCAGCCATTTGATGAATCTTAATAACGTTGTAGATCGCATGGTCAAGTACCGGCGACATGTTTTATAAATGCCTGCCTTATCAACTTTGGTTTCTAGGATATACGCCTACCATGGTGATAACGGGAAACGGAGGATCAGGGTTCGACTCCGGAGAGGGAGCCTGAGAAACGGCTGCCACATCCAAGGAAGGCAGCA